ACATGTTAAACAACACCCGCTGAAGCCATTTAAAGACTTAACACAGACAAGCAGGGCTTGTGCACTGTGTGTGTTTTCCTAGTCCTGTGAGTGCTGGTGTGCTTGAGCTGAGCTGGCAGTCTGCTGCAGCGTCCTCCTTCTGCTCCAGCATGCTCAGCAGCTAACCAGGTTATGCCTGAATCGGATTATCAATTTCTGGGCTAAGTTGAATTCTACAGATTGCGGGCAGAAGCAGGAGTGACGGGCTAAGGAGCCTGCTGTCAGCATAGACTGATGGAGCTGCTCATTCACAGCGACACGGGGCCCATTTATAAAGCAGTAATTGCTGCCGTGATATCGACACTCTTCCTGATTCAACCTTAACCCCGCCCTCCTCCTTTGCTTGCTCCATGCATTCACTCACTCACATAATCTTATCCAAGAGCTGCATTTTGTAAATCAAACTGTTGATTTTCTTTCCCCTTCTGATTGTTCACTGAGCTGTTTGTTAGTTCAGAACTGCTAAAATGTCCATTAGAACAGCTCATTTTGTCCACTATTGAGCTCTTAAAGACTTATGTTCCTTCAAAGACCTGGAATGAAAAGCATCTAACAGGATGAGGAGAACCCCTTGTTTCCAGTTTTGTTTCAGGATCAGACTATTATTTTGAAAAAGTAGACAGTAGCTATTCCAGAAATTTTAAAACAAGCTGATTTGTATCGGAAACAATGATAATGTTCTGGTGTTGGATAAATTTTACTCTTCTTAGAAAATACATAAAAAAATCAGTTCCTGTTGTACATTGGCTTTCTGTTGATCTTTTCATCCCAGTGTGTATAAGGTGGCAAACAAACTGTGTTTCAGTGACAGAAAAAACACTGCATACCTAAACCTCTCTTACCTCACATCACCTTCCATTCTGTGTAATTTTGGGACAAAAGGCAGGATGGTGGAGCAAATGTTTAAAAATCTGGACTACATCTGGCCATCCTGCTGTAGTTTAGTGTCTGAGAATTAGAATCACTATTTTAATTCAGGGTTTTTCTGTCTCTTCTTTCTTTTTCTTACAGCTGTGCCTGTTGAGCCCGGCTGCCAGTTTTCATCCTTTTTCATTACTCCTTCCCATTATTGCCTAATTTCCTTCCCCTCACTCTTCGGGCACCTTTTGCACAAAGCAATCAGCTCAGCAGTTAATGACGGGGACTATCCCACTCTAAATGTCTGTCTGGGTTTTTCTTTCACTTTCTTTCTTTGGTGTTTCTTAAGAAATGAGAGGAGACAAAAGCAGAAGCCACTCTTGTCACCATGGCCCCCGTCCTCACCATGATCGCTCAGAAATGAGTCTGTTGAGTGGATGGTTAAGTTGGAGTTGTTTTATCAAGCTCACAGACTAATGCTGTCTTTTTGAAAAGCTCCAGGACTCGGTTTCTCCTCTTTCAGCATTTGACCTGCGTGCTCTGTCACAGACAGGAAGTAACAGGTGGCCAGCGTCATGGTCCAGGGACCAGTATGTGAGATATAATTTATATATAAAGGGAGACAAGCTGCTGATTGGCTGGTAGGCATTAGGATAATCGGATAATCACATTTATTTGGCCAAGTATGTTACACACAAGGAATTTGTTTCTGGTACAGAAACAACTCAACTGATGGCTCTAACCATCGGGGGCAACTTGAGGGTTCAGTGTCTTGCCAAAGGACACTTCGACACATGGACAGCAGGCACGGCGATTCAAACCTCCGACCCTCCGTTTGGGAGATGACTGCTCTACCCACTGAACCGC